ATGAGTTTGATATAAATGATATTCAAAGGTATGAATGAAAAAATACGAAAATTTACTTTATAATATTACTAACATTAATATAATATTATATTAATTGTAGGCCAAGTAGAGATTTTATAATTGAAAATTCAAACTCCCAGCAAGTAATTTATACTAGCAAACCATTAAGTAAATTAATTTCAGAAATAAATCCTTCAGGAAAGCGGAATATTGAAGACGAAACTCAAGCTAATGGAGTTGATAGTAAGTAAAATTTTTATTTATATATGAATGTAATAATTATACATTGTAATATAATATATTTTTATTTATAAAAACAGGCAAGCACGTTAAAATTAGTGACGAAATTAACCCAGAATCTCAAGAGTAATAAATTCATTTAGTAAAATCAAATTTTATATATTTATTTATTTACTAGCAGAGAATCTTTGCTTCACACCAGGAATAATGTTTTAATCAATATATGATAAATTATGTGTATAAAGTAATTATATACTAAATAAGCAGAGATATATCTATAGATTATTTTTGAATAGAGACTATATGTTAAAATAGTAATTATTTTTTTTTATTTTACAATTAAATTTATTCTATTTTATTAATATTTAAAAATGATCTTTTTTTATCTTTCATATATTGATGCTTTTATTTTAGTATGACTCCTACATTTGTATTGTAGTAGGAAAAGGTTATATATCATGTGATTACTTCTGTGCGACTTATATATCATATTAATTTACGCGAATTTTTTAACATTTATTTAAATTTTCAAAATAAAATATATCTTTAATTCTTTTTTTGTTATATCTTCTTCAACTTTCTCCATATTTTCAATTTCCATTAAGATGGAATTTTCGAAATTTTCCATTAATAAAGATGTTTCTTAGTGGCAACTTATGTTTTTGTGTAAAAAGATTTCATTTTTAACTTTTTTTTCATGTTTTTTTACCAATTACTTCATCTTTTAACTATATTTTTTCTCTCTAAAAAAAAATTGGTAAAGTGATCAACTATGTAAAAAGATTTTGAACGAATTAAAAAAATCTCATTTGAGAATGAGTAATTTGCTTAAATATAAAAAGAATAAAAGAATAATTATTTATTTAATATCTGAAACAAAAAATTTTTTTGTCTTTTAATAAAAAACGAAAAAAGAAAAAAATAACAGATATATTTATTTTACTAACTAAAAAAATTGTACAAAACATATTTATTCAGATAAAAAATATGTATTGATTTTGATTATACAGAGAACGATCCTAAAAGGTAATAAGAATTGGAGCGTCAATCCGATCACCAATCTAAAAAAAATACATATAACAATAAATAAAAAAATATGTAAAGATACCCGATACGATCTGCTGCATAATCCCAAGCGAGCCAGAAAAACTGACCAAAATTTCATTAACCGGCATATAAATCTCACATAATTATGATCTCAATAGTATATCATTACAAAATTCAATTTTAATAATTTTAATATTTATTTGGAAGAGTAATCTAAATGTCAAAGGAAATTTTTTTATTATATAGATTTATTTATATTTACTGTATTTAAACTAAATTTTATTAATAAATTTTTAAATTTATTTATCTTATTAATTATTCAAGTATCAACCAATACAATGACCAATATAAATTTTTCGTATCCACTGCATAAAGTCGAACATTGGTATCCCATTACAAGTCTATGTACGTAGAGATTAGTTTTAAAATAGCGCAGGAGCAAAAATTACTATTTACTTCATATATTGTATTTCTCTAATAATCTATACAACTAAAAAAATTTGTAGAGCAGTCTCCAATAAATAATTAACATGAAAACTCATGCCGTAATATGATTTGATTGGTTGCTGCCTTGCTGGGCACTTTAAAATTTTCTTAGCTTTTTTTTCAAAATTCAAACCAATATTTATTTTTCTAATTTTTTAAACCGAAACTTTGTTTTAATTTTTCCTTTTTCGGCTTTTTTTTCAAACCGATTTTTTTCTTTCAAATTTTCAGTGGGTTTTTTTTCAAACAGAATTTTTTCTTTCAAATATTACCTAATAATATTTTTAATTTTGCCTTTTTCTGTTTATTTCAAACTGAAACTTTTTTCCCTTTTTTTCGTTTTGAAAAAAAAAAATTTTTCATTTTATCACCATTCCGCCAGTGATCGGATTGGCGTTGCAAGGCCACGGATAAGCGCCTTTTTTTTCTCCATTTCTTTATTTTTTTTTTTTTACTGATTTTTCCCCTTGATTTTTTTTTTCGTTCCTAGATCGGATTTGGATCGGCCCTTTTGTTTTATTCTTATTTATTATTTTTACTAATTTTTTTCCCTTACAGCAAATTTCAAAATATACGGGACACTTGAGAAATTTGATTGTCTGGTTGTCGGGTAGCCGGGTTACTCGGCAGTAGGTTGTTTATTAGAAAAGTATAAATAACACGTGACGTGTATAATGAATAGTAGTATATCAGATTATATAATAACCTACTGCCGAGTAACCCGGCTACCCGACAACCCGACAATCAAATTTCTCAAGTGTCCCGTATATTTTGAAATTTGCTGTAATAATCTTTTTTTTTGTAGGTTTGGATCGGGATCATTTTCTTATTTGAATAAATTATAATCTTTTAATTTGAATAAATATAAATACAATTGATTAATATATAATCATTATACATAATTATGATAATCTTAAATATTATTTGTGCACAATTTATTATAGTTTATTGTATGGTTTAAGTCCATTGATTCCAACGAGTGACTGCTAGTATAAGTAATAAGTTTATAAAAAAGTCTAAAAATGTAATAAAACAAGTTGAAAATTTTTTCTATTTAAATAAATATTTAATGTATGAATGTAGGCAAATTTACGGAGTTTTTTTTTTGAGACATAAATTCGGGAAAAAATTCCTATTAAATTGTAAATATTATAAGTCTATAAAGAAATATCTTAACTTTTGGAAAATTTTATTAATTTATATATCGTCAATTAAATTTAATTACAAAATTGTCGATTTTTTTTTCCGTTAGCAAATCTAATGTGTAAATCAATATTACACGGTTGTTATCTTATAGATTATGATTTTATACTCGCTATAATTCATGTTTTGACGAATAACTAATATGTTTATTAAGTTATATTTTTGATGTCTGTGAAATAACTAGTGAGAAGCAAACCTTCAAATAATAGTTATTGCGTCATTTAGATAAGATCATAAGATCATGATGATAGTTTAGCAATAATATATAAATAAAAAGTACAGTTTAAACGTCTGTTGTAATGCTTAAACTTATTAAAATAATTATTTATTTAATATTAATAGAAATTAATATTTAGTCATTAACAAAAAATATCAGTACGTCAGAATCAGCACGATCCTAATAGATTGACCAATAATATATATCAATATCTTATAAATGTATTAAACAAATTCACTGTCAAACTTTCCCGCCATAATGATGATTTTTTTTTTCAAACGAAAAATTTTTCGTTTGATTCTTTAACTCAAAAAAATCGGAAATTTTGAAATAAAAATTACTTGTTTTTGAGAATTTCAAATTAACTACTATTAGGCCATATAAATAAAATTGTTGGTTTCTCATCAGCGGCCGGGCCATGAACGTCACGAAAAACACTTTTTTATTTTTTTTAGTCACGTGATACCGGCCGGGTCCAAAAAATTTTAAAAATAAATATATATTTTTTTCATTATTACTAATCGATCTTAAATTTTCATGCAGGTCACCAGATAGGAAAAAAATTATTAAAATAATAAATTTTTTTCCCGGGTCATAGGGTAGGAAAAAATTTACGTTTTTTTCAACCAATCATATTTCAGAAAGCGTCTAATTTTTTTTTTAAAATAAATTATTTTTCCGGACGGCCGGATTACTTTTTACTATTTATATTCATGAAAAACGAATTATTTTATTTATATGGCCTTAACTGTACAGTACATGTAAAAAATTTTTAATGAAAAAACAAACATAGTTTAAAATATTTTACATTAATGATAATTGATCAAAGATAGAAATGATATTGATAAGTTTTCATGTTTCTTCAATAGACATAAGAAATAAAAGAAAACTATTAGGTTCAAACAAAAGTTTTAACAATTAACTTTTCTATATATACTATCTTAATATACATAATGAGATGGCTAATTTGACTATGCATCATAATTTCTTTCATGCTCATAAGCTGTCACAATTTTATAAAGACTAAGAAAACGGAAACCATTTAACCCTTGAGACTTTTTTGGTATTTGGGTACAACTAAATCACACGACATTAATATATTTCGATAAAAGTGATGTTTGTGACGTGCCTTACTGAACGGAATTACAAGGGCATTTGGCCATTTTAACCCCTAAATGGCCGTCGAATTGCCTATGTAGTCATTCGGGTCATTTGTCATTTGAGTCATTTAGAAATAATTCATGATGCCGCCCAGAATTATAAATTTATATTATCACGTGATGTAATTTTTATGAATTTTATCCTGAAATTACAAATAATTTTGGCCAGAATTATGATGTAATTTTTTAAATGACTAGGTCATGACACGTGATCAGATTTTGAGTCTAAGAAATAACTACAAATTCTTTAAATATTTAATTTTAAAAATACTCTTAATAATATATTTATACTAAAAATTTTTAAAATGCAATCTTCACAACCTTTAATTATATTTTCTCAAATGTTACTTAAAAGAATTAAAAAAATGCGTTTATTGTTTCATTTTACTATTTTACGTAAATGAAATCTTTTTTATACTATTCAAGTTGCAGATTTTACATCAAATACTAATGGGAAATATCATTTGTTAATTTTTTATATTAAGTTTATGGAATTACACTTTCATCATTGTAAATTAACTACAATTTAAGCCATTTACTATAATATATTCAATTTTTTTTTTTTTTCGTTAACTCTCTTTATTAGTATTGTAAGAAATTTGATATACATCTAATTTAAACGTAAAACATCTAATCAATAAAGTAACCTATCTATTAAAATAACCTAATAAAGAAAAATGTCTAGAATAATTAGCTTTTCTAAATACCAAAAATTTATTATAATCCGATAACCTTACTGATGTCCAAACATCACTTACACGTTCATTCCGAGCTTTACTATATCCTGACCATCGCTGCATAATATCAAATACAAACCGGTCTTTACATGTTGATTAATTCGAGATGGCAGAATCAAAGTACGGTCTCATCGTTTCATTTGCTTTGTGATACCTTTGCCTATTTCCCAAATATTCATTTCTTCGCATCATAATACCAAATATATTTTTTACTAAGAGTTTTAACATTTGTCACAGAAGTCTCAATCCTTTTATCACTTCGTGAAATATACGACCATTAAAAATAACTTTTGAGCGTTCATTTAAAATAAAAAATAACCTCGCAGCCAATTAAATTCATATAAAGCTTTAATTCCTGCATTTTCTTTTTAGCATTTTCTAACGCTTGATTAATGATTTGACCAATCATATATAAGTCAGGCTTCCAAATTCTTTTACAGCGTATATATCTATGTTCGTAAATTTCTGGATTACGTTTATTTAATAATATCATGGTAAAATTCTTGATACTACCACTAACTCACTATTTTTAATGATACTTCTTGATTATATTCTTACATAATAATCTCATATAATGACCTATATCAACTTCATATAAACTCATTCTATAATGTCTGTTAATATCCAAAATCAACCATGATGCTTTATAATAACTTTGATTAAGTTCCTTATAAAATTCACGTGGAATCAACTTGTTGTTCCAATATAATCCAAATTCCCACGACACATTATTATTTAAACAAACTTTTGTCATATTATCCTCATTATTATCGTATATTGCTATTTATCAGCCATTTCATAACCTGAACATTAGAATGTTGTTTACTTTGTTTAGCATAATCTCCAACTTAGCTTGCAAAAATAACTTTACATCTCTCCCTATAAAAAAAAATACTGGCGACAAATGATCATTTTTCTAGTTTTCATACCGAAGAAACTCAGACACGGGATCATTTTTCTGAAATTTTTTATAGGGTCTAAATAAAAAAACTATTCTATACATTCCATATTCTCCTCGTATGCCATATACCTCGTTTATGAAATAAATTGTTACATATTTGCCATACTGTCATGTTGCTGTATATACATTTGTTCTACTTCCATCACTCATAGTCATAAGCATACAAATGGTCGCAACTAATTCTAATTCTATTATATTGAACATGTTTATTATACGTAAAAAACCTTTGCTTAAATGACGCCTTCTCTATTAAAAACCACTCATCCTATTTATTCTACCATCTTTACTAGTAGCATCTGTAAATATTTCACAAATATCTACTTTATCTCTCTCATTACTTTAATTAATATAGTTTTCTTTAACTTCCTATTACCTTGTAATCCTTTTTTAAACATATTTTTAATCCATCTAAATCTCCTATCTATTATTATTCTTCTGAAAGTTCTATTTCCAAATGGCCCCAATTACCCAATTATTTTCAATCATTCTTTTATTTCTATATTTATTATAAATCTCTTTATTAATATCGTAACTACTGAATACTTCACGTATATTTTTATCTTTAATCAATTTATTTTCAATTTCTGTAAATCATCTTGGCGTTCTTCCTTTACTTCTTCTCCCTAACTTGCGTTGTCAGCGTCTTCTAATAATATATTCAAATTTTGACGTAACGATGTATATAAATTGATACGTTGATTTTATTAGTATGCATAAAAATATTGTTTTAAGGCCACGCAAATTCAATTTTTCGGTTCACGTAACATTGAAATTTAAAATTGACCCGGGGACCCGGAGTTTATTGTTAAAACACTAAAAGATTTGTTGGTTGCCGATCGTACTAAAATAGAAAAGCTTGATTTGAAATGTATTTATATAATCAGCAAACAGCATCTTAAAATGGAAATCACTCAAAAACTAATCTTATGTTAACGTTAAGTTAACGTTAACCTATCATGACATGTCAATCATTTCAAGTCATAACAATAACGTGACGCGCCACGCACCCACCCATAGGG